TGCCGAACTCCAGACCCGCCGAGATCTCATACTCCAGCGCCGAGACGGCGCGGTCGTAACCGGGAATGAGCTGAAATCTTCGGCCAAGCGAATCCTCAAGGCCGCGACCGAGATGAAGAAGGCCCTGGCTGAGCGGAAGCTGATCCGAGCGAGGTGGCAGGTGGACATTGATGGCGGGGACATTTCTTGGAGAAGGATCACCTGCCTGATCTGGGGAATGTTTAGTGAAGGGGTCTAGGCAGGCGATGAGCGGTTATTTTAACTATTTTTCCCTTTTTCTTTCTCTCTTTGGGATGTAATAAGTGACCAAAAACATACATTATTTTATTTACACATATTTTTTCTTTGTTTACGACCACAGACAGATATATGTATATGTTATTTCGGCCGTGACTAGCCGTTCTGTTTTTGTAAGTAATGCCCCTTTTAACTAAATGTAAGGCAAGGGCCTTCTTTTCTGAAAAACGAAATGTATTCTTTCCTTTTCTATATGACGGCCGGGCCTTTCGTTTAGCCCGTCCACCTACCTTCCTCTTTTCTTCTTCTTGACTCTCTTGTCGTAGGTCCTCGGCGCCATTTTCTTTTGAACTTGCGCCGAGTTGTAGACGTCAAGTCTCGATTCTTTCGGATTTTCAGAACTCCTGGGTGTTATCCGCGAGTAATCCTTCTTCCTCCGGCCACGTTGCCCGAAAACTTGAAGGAAACGAACCTTCCGCTTTAATAGTTTATCAGTGTCATGGCCGTCGGCCAAGATATAAGGAGATGTGCCCACGGCCGAGTTTTTTGAGGCGCGGCGTGCCCAAAAAACTTCAGGGGATGAATTGCGCCAATCGCTAGGTTCCCTTGATAGGCACGGCCTTGGGTAACCTGGTGCCCCCAGCTCCTTATGTGTTAAAACGTCTTTCAAAATGGGCCGGATTCCGTCGAACTGAAACCCTTGACACGGCCTGCTTCGTTGCGCATCGTTTCGCGGCCATTCCTGCCGGGCCGTTTGAGTAATGGGCTCGGCCACTGTGACCGAGCCGGGTAGCTTTCGAGAGACCTCGTGGGTTTGACCGAGGCAGGATTGGTCCACCGGCCATCGAGGCATAACCACCTGGTTATGCTGGATGGCATTATACTGGGAACCTAGATAGGTCTGCGTTGTCGTCGGAATGGCCAGTCCGTATATTTGTACTGGGTAGCTTTCGAGAGACCTCGTGGGTTTGACCGAGGCAGGATTGGTCCACCGGCCATCGAGGCATAACCACCTGGTTCTGCTGGATGGCATCATACTGGGAACCTAGATAGGTCTGCGTTGTCGTCGGAATGGCCGGTCCGTATATTTGTACTGGCAGCACGGCGGCCAAGCATTTCTGATCGCATTGTTGTGGTAACGCTTCGGTCACGTTGCTCTGGCCGGACTGTGCCTGATCGGCCAAAGTCTGGGTTGGGCCGAGATGCTGGATCGTAGACAACGTAGATCAACCCAACGTTTTATATTTTATAAGCGTATTAAATACCTTACCACGACGATTTCATAACACTCGTCGTCTTATCACGACGGTTCCGTCGATAAAATCTGAGGGCAGTGCTTCTTCCCTTGTGATAATCTGAATAAATTTAAATTTATCTTCAAAATACAGAAACCCGAAATCACTCTCACAAAATCAAAAGAAATTGGGCGGCAAGCAACCGCTGGAATTGTTTCCTGGTCGAAGTTGGATTTCAAGTTTTGGATTGGGTTTAGATTTTCAAGAGCCCATTTGGATTGGGTATCCGTAAATATTTACTAATACTCCTCCTTGTACCACTCGGATTAGGACTACGTAGGCTATATAATGCATTACCAAAATCCCCTTTTCGTCATTCTTGTCTCTCTTGTCTCTTCCCATCCCATTTATAATCTCTAGTTACCATGTCCATCGTTAGGTACTTTGAAACCCTCGTCTTGCAAAGAACAAAACCCGACATCAACCAATCCCATCTTCCACCAGACGTTCTTTACATCGTATTCAAACTCTACAAGTCAACCATAAGAGCTTGGTGCCCTCAAGAAGATGATCATGATCTTCCAATAGTGGTTCCATATTCACCAAACAACCGCGTATTTATAACTCAAGAAACCATCAATGTCCCTCGTACCATGCTAAAATCGTCTAGTACTACATCCCTCATGGTTGACATTCTCTCCAGCATGCTTGTCCCCGAGCATGAACATCCAGCTCTTATCGAAAACATATTTCGTGAGCTTGTCGAAAAATATTCGTCGGACAAGACCAACACCATGCTCCCCATTGTTGTGGGCATAAATGATCAGACTCTGCGCATAACCACTATCGGCGGCGGTCAAACAAGCGACGAGGTTCTTGATAGGGTTACGATGGAATACACGCAAGCATATGAGGCCAAGCCTATCCCTGCAGATAAATCGATCATTGAGCAATTGGAGAAGCTGAGGCTTGATGGCTTGGAAGATAATACCGGACAGATGGCGTGCACCATTTGCATGGAGGACTTTGAGGGCGGTGTTGAAGTTAGTCGCTTGCCTTGCTTGCATCTTTACCATGGAGATTGTATTGTTCAGTGGTTGGAGACGAGTCACTTGTGCCCTTTGTGCCGATATCCAATGACTCCTGCTCCTTGATTTTTGAGTTTAGTTGCTAGATATTATATCATGTTGTAATGGAAAATTAAGAAAATAAAGGATCTGATTGGTTGCTTCAATTACTACTAGAGGTTCTTGTAAAAATGGTCGGTGTGAAGGAGGAGGGGTGTCTTGTGAAAACTTCAAAATCGTTATTGGCATGAATTATTCAACTTGGAGGTGATTCTAAACAATTCATAGATTGGAAGGTCCTCTGTTTGTTACATTCCTATCGACCATCTACATAGAGGAGATTGGGATGAAACATATTTGCAATGAGATACTTTTTTGGATAACCCTTAATAGTTATCTTGAATTTTGATCAGCCTTTTGTTTGGGCTCAAAGTGTGTTTTTTTTCAATCCCCTTGTTAAGTTTTCTTGTTTGATAAGAAATTATTTGACCTAGGATAACTCTAGTTTTAGTAATTTATTGTAATTAGAAGATTAATCATCAGTCTCGAGTGAGTCGAACTTAAAATAATAAAACTCTAGTCTTCGAATATGGGTGAAATTGTGTTGGGAGATTTTTGTTTACAATTTTCCCTCAACAATCCTGTCAGTTGCATCCATGCCTTGGCTTTGGCTAAGCTAAAAAGATTTAACAAGGTTGTAATGGAAACTGATTCCAGGGTGTTGTGTGAGGGCGTTAAAATTTGTATGGGAAATAGAATATGGATCATTTACCCTCTAGCGGAGATAAGGCATCCGAACGAAAGTTTGATTGTGTTGAGTGGAATTGGGTCCCTCGTAATGTGAATCACCTCGCTCATGTGGCGGCCGCAATTGGTGCTTGAGCGGTGGAACTGGAAAGCCTCCGTCGTTGGTTCACGTCCCGAAAATTCCGATGGGCTCCCTTGCCCCCTAGTTTGTAACTTTTTTTATGTTCTAGTTTTGGTAGTGAAACTGTCTCAACTTGTTGTGCTGAGTTTAGCTTTCCTTCCTATTTGGTTGGAGGTTGCATAGAGCCCCTAAGAGAGAGCTCAAAACCAAGGTTATCCTTGCTTGGAAATGAAATGTTCAAGCTTTACCCCTTGTCATGGACGACCTCCCTCCTATTTAAAGAGATTTCCACCATGGATAGTGAAGGGTTAATCTCATCTTCTTGCCATAGGCCTCCTTTCTAATTTTTTTTCCTTCTTTTAATTGCAAAATTAGGTTAAAAACAAAATAGATCATTTTGAACACAACCCAAGTACGAATTGACCCTGACTAAATAAGTTTGGTTGGTCAAATGTCACACGTGTAGGACTCACATATCCAATAATATCACATCACGTGAATTAAATTAAAAATAATTAAACAAAAACAATTACTTACAGACAATTTAAACATTCATTAAGCAAAAAAAAAATTATTAACATTCAAAATTGCCTCCATCATTTGTAATTCCAAAACCTCAAAGAGGAGTAAGATTTCCACAACAAGAAAACATACATTATATATTCAACCATGGTTTTACACATTACACCATACCGCAAAAAATAATCAAAATTAAATAAAATTAAAAAAGAAGAAATCAAAAGAGCCAATGTGCAGTTATAAATTGAGCTTAATATCACCCAAATCGAGCTCCGCAGCAATCTCCTCAAGCTGTTTCTTCACGCTCAAATCGATCAGCTTCGACCCAGAGTTGCCATATCTCACAGTGAACCCAGCCACCAAGCTTGGATCAATCTCCGTCTTGATCCTCACGTTCTGCGCCCCCGTCAGCTTCTGCACCTGCTTCGCTATCTGCGCCAGGTGCTGCGACTCCAGCTTCACCACCGAGGTCACGATGGCCAGCTCCGTGTCCGTGATTTTGTTGTAAACCACCTCGAACTCCTTTACGATGTCCTTTATGAGGTCGATTCGCTTGGCTTCGACGAGGATGTTGAGGAAATTAACGGTGTGGGGCTGGAGGGTGGAGGACTTGGCGATTTCGTCGAGGACCTTGCGCTTCTTGTCGAGGTCGATGGTGGGGTTAATGAAGAAGTCGAAGACTGACGGCTCGCCGAAGAACTTCTCGATCTTCTTGTGCCGATATCCAATGACTCCTGCTCCTTGATTTTTGAGTTTAGTTGCTAGATATTATATCATGTTGTAATGGAAAATTATGCAAATAAAGGATCTGATTGGTTGCTTCAATTACTACTAGAGGTTCTTGTAAAAATGGTCGGTGGGAATGAGGAGGGGTGTCTTGTGAAAACTTCAAAATCGTTATTGGCATGAATTATTCAACTTGGAGGTGATTAATTCTAAACAATTCATAGATTGGAAGGTCCTCTGTTTGTTACATTCCTATCGACCATCTACATAGAGGAGATTGGGATAAAACATATTTGCAATGAGATACTTTTTTGGATAACCCTTAATAGTTATCTTGAATTTTGATTAGCCTTTTGTTTGGGCTCAAAGTGTTTTTTTTTCAATCCCCTGGTTAAGTTTTCTTGTTTGATAAGAAATTATTTTGATTAGCCTTTAGTAATTTATTGTAATTAGAAGATTAATCATCAGTCTCGAGTGAGTCGAACTTAAAATAATAAAACCCTAGTCTTCGAATATGGGTGAAATTGTGTTGGGAGATTTTTTCTTTACAATTTTCCCTCAACAATCCTGTCAGTTGCATCCATGCCTTGGCTTTGGCTAAGCTCAAAAGATTTAACAAGGTTGTAATGAAAACTGATTCCAGGGGTGCTGTGTGAGGGTGTTAAAGTTTGTATGGCAAAATAGAATATGGATCATTTATCCTCTTGCGGAGATAAGGCATCTGAGCGAAAGTTTGATTGTGTTGAGTGGAATTGGGTCCCTCGTAATGTGAATCACCTCGCTCATGTGGCGGCCGCGATTGGTGCTTGAGCGGTGGAACTGGAAAGCCTCCGTCTTTGGTTCACGTCCCGAAAATTCCGATGGGCTCCCTTGCCCCCTAGTTTGTAACTTTTTTTATGTTCTAGTTTTGGTAGTGAAACTGTCTCAACTTGTTGTGCTGAGTTTAGCTTTCCTTCCTATTTGGTTGGAGGTTGCATAGAGCCCCTAAGAGAGAGCTCAAAACCAAGGTTATCCTTGCTTGGAAATGAAATGTTCAAGCTTTACCCCTTGTCATGGACGACCTCCCTCCTATTTAAAGAGATTTCCACCATGGATAGTGAAGGATTAGGAGATATCCTCCAGAATCTCATCTTCTTGCCATAGGCCTCCTTTCTAATTTTTTTTTTTTCCTTCTTTTAATTGCAAAATTAGGTTAAAAACAAAATAGATCATTTTGAACACAACCCAAGTACGAATTGACCCTGACTAAATAAGTTTGGTTGGTCAAATGTCACACATGTAGGACTCACATATCCAATAATATCACATCACATGAATTAAATTAAAAATACCGTTACGGCGGAGGGTGACAGCGGCGGCGGTGGAGGAGGAGAGCTTGAGGGGGATGGGGGTGAAGGTGGAGGAGAAGGAGAAGGAGAGGGTGGAGGTTCTGGGGGTGAGGGTGGAGGAGAGTTGTGGTGGGGATGATGGGGTTTGGGATTGGAGAGAGATTGGGGTGTGTTGGAGGGCGGCCATTGGTGAATTGGGTGGCTCTCTTTGTCTCTCACACTCTTGGTTTGAGGCTGCGAAGAGAGAGTTTGTGGAATTGAAAAGAAGTGGTTGTTTGGAGGTTTTGGGGATTGATTGATATGGAGGAGGAAGAGGTGGACGGTTGGGATGGTGAAGGAGGGAAGGGGGGTGGACGGTGGGGATTTGATGGGTTTTTATCCTTGTTTGAATGTTAGTAGCCACTGATATCTTAAGGAGATAATGGATTTGACGCGTGGATAGGTTTCATAGGATAGGGTATATTTTATAGAAGAAAGTCTTCCTTCACCTTATATAATTATATTGGGGTTTACACCGGGGTTTTTTTTTTTTTTTTTGGGGTTACATTGGAGTAAAGAAACTCTATTGGGGTTCGATCTTGAGTGTCACCACCAAAGACTAAAATATCAATAATATCAATAAAATATTTAGGATATTATTGTTTTTCGGGTCTAGGATATTTTGAAGAGTTATTCACACTAACACTTCTTGAGGTTTCTTGTGTTTTCACAAAACCCTTTTTCGTTGATTGTTTGTCCATGATTTCATTGAAAAAAAAATGTATGCAAATGACAAAATTAACCTCAATGAAGTATATGCAATCTAATCTCAAAGGCCAACTTTGTCATTTGGAGAATTTTTTTTGTATAAAATCATCAATCTTTGGACGAAAAATCAATGAAAAAGAGTTTTGTGAAAACAATTTAAAACCTTAGGGGGTGTTCTTGTAATTTCTAAATTCTCAAAGGAGTTTTGTGAAAAAATTGAAAACTTCAAGGGGTGTTAGTGTAAATAACTCAAATTTGAACCTTATAGGAACTCTATGTAGTACTAAGTCACTCATGTATCCCAGACCAAAAAAGAAAAAAAGTCACTCATGTATCTTACTATACAATGTATAAAGTGTAAAATATTGTAGTAAATGATTATGGTGTATTTAATTTTCTTTCATTAATTACTACGTATTTTCTACACTCGCAGTGTTTGTCAACTGACTATATAATCAACTTAAATCAATTTAACCCATCATGCAATGCATTTCCTTCCAATTTTTTTGTGATAAAGTAATAGATAATTGACTAAATAAACATCTTCCAAAGTTTCAAGAAAAAAATTCCAAGTTTTTCTTACAATTTCCTTGGTTTTTATTCAATTTTTATCGATATCGATAATTTCCCCATATTTCCATCGAAATTTCTGTGTTTTTGGACTACCGATATTTCCCAAACTATCAATATTTTAGACCTTGGTCACACCCATAGTCAGAAATATCGATAATATCGAGCATATTTCAGTTGTTTCGAATCACGGATATTTCGGAATATATTCATGTACATATAGTATAAATATCGACGATAATATCGGAAAATATCGATGTCGATAATTTCGCTCACACTTTAGCAATATTTTTTCAAAATATCGATGTAATATCGCTAAAATATCTAAAATATCAATGTAAAGGAAAAAAAAAAAGGAAAAAAAGGGAGAGAAAAAAACACAAAGGGGATTTGAACCCCTCCCATTTTACTCCTCAAACACCTTAACCACCATATCACTTATGTTTTTGTGATAATATGCTAAAATATTTATATTTATATGGGTGGCATGTTAACAATTACATGCAAAACTATTTTGGGGATTTATCATTTGATGATTACTCTTCACAATACACTTACTCTACACATAGAGATGATGAAGATAGTGAAAAATTTGAACCTCATAGGAACTCTATATGTTACTAAGTCACTAATGTATCTTACCATGCAATGTATAAAGTGTAAAATATTATAGTAAATCATTATATATAAATGATTATGGTGTGTGTAATCTTTTTTCATTAATTACTACATATTTTCTACACTTATAGTGTTTGCCAGCTCACTGTATAATCAACTTAAATCAATTAAATCCATCATGCAATGCATTTCCTTCTTCTTCTTTTTTTTGTGATAAACTAATAGATAATTGATTAAATAAACATTCTCCAAAGCTTCAATAAAAATTTCCAAGTTTTTCTTACAATTTCTCAAGTTTTTATTCAATTTTTATCGATATCGATAATATCCCGATATTTCCCTCGAAATTTTCGTGTTTTTGGACTACCGATATTTCCGATATCATCGATATTTTAAACCTTGGTCACACCATTGTGGTGGGAACCCATTGACATGTGGGTAAGTTTTTTAGATGGATTAAATTATTGAAATTTAAAACATGGGTTTTGATGTTTTAAAATTTGACACCATTTTCCAGTCTCAAGTTTGAACTCTCATACCTAGATAATGTGTGTGTGAGAAATCTCTCTTCCCCTTGTAGTTTAGACTATCCATGGTATTCAAAAAAAAATTGACACTATTTTTGAACAAAAATGCTAGGGACACTAAATTTGTGTATCAAATTTGAGTCCCAAATGATGCATTGTGGTTCTTTTTGGTGGGTCTACTGTGTTGGTGTTTAGCAGGTTTTTTTCTTTATTCTAGTTTTTATAGCGATCTCATGTGGCATGAGTCAGACTCTCCTGTTAATCCATGGCATGGGTGGTACTCTTTCCTATCTTGGGGTACCATTGCTTTTAAAATAATCAGGATATTTTATTTTTACAAAACACCTTAAACTGCTTAACTTTAAAGTGAAGTAGGTTTTTGGCCAAAAAGGGATCCCAAACGGGACCTTAATAAGGCTACTGTAATCGTGCCGGTCTTTGTATGCCTTTTATGATTTATGACTGAAATCTTCTTCTAAAAATAAAAAAAAATTGAGTCCCAAATGCTGTGTCCTTTTGCCGCATCATTTGTTTTGTTTCATCAAATTGCCACATATATTTTTTTGGGTCAAATTGCCACGGGCACTTAGGAGTAATTAATTTCTTTTCACAAAAAATATATAATAAAAAAAACATTTAGTATCCAAAAACTAAACGCATTTCCTTCAATTACAATGATGGTGCCAAAACCCTTCTAGTCCAGCTTAAATATCAAATTAATATATTTGTGATGGGTTTGGGGATTTTGTAGAAATGTCACTTGAACTTATACATCAATTTCAATTTGTCCTCTTAAAAAAAATTGAAGTGAAATGTCACCTTAATTTTTCAAAATCCATGATTTGTCATATGGCTTTAACACCATTCAATTTTTCATCCACTTTCAAGGGTATTTTTATCTTTCCAATATATAAACCCTTTTTATTTTATTTTATTAAAGCTATGTAAACCTCTTTTTATAAGACAATGCTTTTTTTTTTGGTTACATTGGAGGAAAGAAACCCCACTGGGGTTCGATCCTGGGTGCCATGGGGGGAAGGGGGAATCCACCACCACTGTGGTGGGAACCCATTGGCTATAAGACAATGCTTTCATCTCTTTTAACCCAAGCCTTTTGGCTGGAAACTCAAGCCTCCCCACCCCCATTAACAAATCACACGACTAGTCTCTCTACCACCGAAAAACTCATCCTCTTGTCCCACCAAAAAAAATTCCTCAAGACACGCAACCATGGCCAACCTGGCTAATATACCATGGTAAAGGGCAAGAGTGAGATCATGTGTTCTACCATGGTGAAGCGCAAGAATGAGATCCCGATTTTGAGTCTTAAATTGAAAATCAAAAACTCAGAAATTAAGAACAAAAAATGAAAACCATATAAATCAATTCATCTGAAAAAAAAAAAAAAAAAAAAAAAGAAGATTGAAAATTAAGCTTGCCAAATGGAAGGTTGGAGAGAGTGCGGTTGCCTAAGCAAATTCCGACCAAGATAAGGAGAGAATGGAGAGAAGTAGCCGTTGAGGGAGGAGAGAGTGCGAGAGAATCCACCGCCACCCCTGTTCCAAATCCACCCCATCATCACCCTGCCACTGAACCAATAAGGACGAACAAGCAGCCCACTAAATTTTTTTTTTTTTTCCTCTCTCTCATTTCTCCATCTCTTATTCCTTTCTTTCTTTCTCTTCACCCCGAAAACAATGGAGATCGGTGACTCTATGCGGAGTTCGAAGCCTCGCATTTCTCACCCAAAAAAATATAAATAGAAGAGGGTTTACGTATTGGAAATGCTAACATAGTTAGAAGATGAAGAAGAATAAGTGCCCATTTGGCATTGCTTATTTGGGGTGATAAGTGATTTTTTTAAAATTTTGGAAAGCCCAGCCCGTTTGGTAAACTATGAGAAAATCACTTATTGTTAAAAATTGTTGTGAGAGAAAGCTATAAGGGAAAGCAGCTAATGTGGTGCTTTCATTTTCTGATTATGCAGGAATCAGTTTTGAAGAGGCGCTGGGTTTAATGATTGTTTGTACAATATCTGGCCAAGCATTTCCAAGCATTTCCAAGCTAATCCAAGCAAAGGGAAGGGAGTCCCACATCGACAAAACACAAGAGAAGGGGACTCTCCCTTCCCTATAAAAGAAGACCCCTCTCCTTCAAAGGAGGGAGAGGAAGAAAGAGGTTGGGCAGGCTATTAGGGCCTCATGGGCTTACCCATGAGCCCATTTACAAGCCCACGAATCATCGGCCATCAGCCAGATCATCTGCCTTCGGCCATCAGCCTTCGGCCAGCAGCCTTCGACATCTGCCTTCGGCCATCAGCCTTCGGCATCTGCCTTCGGCCTTCGGTATTCTTCCTCTTCCCCTTGGGTCTAATCCTATGTACAATGTATACACACATTATTATAATGAGAACATACTTCTCTGTGGACGTAGCCCATTATTCGGGTGAACCACGTACATTTGTCTTCTGTATGCATGTCCATTTATTTACCGATTGCTCTTACATACTGAGGGTCCTCACCCTCAACATCCACCTCATCTTTAAGTTGGCCTACATACTACCTGTCTAGTTTTAGCGCCAACAATGATTATGCGGCAATCATTTTCTGATTATGTGGGAATTAGTACTAGCAACACTTTTAACAAAAAGTTTACCAAACGCCAAACTGCTTTCTCTCACAGTTGATTTTTTCTCACAACAAATTTGATAACGATTATTTTCACAACACAGCAATGCCAAACTAGCCCTAAGACTAAAATATTAAAACTCAACACGTTGGAAATACATATTGGAAATGCTAACAGAGGCAAACTAGCTAACCAACTTAACACTAAACACGTGATTTTATTTTAACAGACTAACAGTAGTGCCACATCATCTAACTATTAGCCAAACAA